AACGCAAAATTTACAAGCATAAATAAAAAGATTCAAAATTATCTAAACATAAACGGTGAAAATTTTAAATGCAATAAAAACAAAAATAAACAATTATTATTTTTAAAATGTTTTGAACCTGAGTTTTGAGAAAATTTGAAGACGAAGTGTGTTGGCCAGCCTGGTGTGCAAAGACCATTCATTCCACAGTTCAGGGGCACTGTCTGAAAATACAACTATTTCTTTTTCTGTAGCTTTTATTACTTTGACCTGTATAAATGCAAATGAATATGTATTATTGCRAAGTCAAGATAACTGGGCTCTAAACCTGGCCATTAAACCATCAGATATCTTTGGTTCAATCCAGTGTAACCGGAGTGCTTTCATTTCCAGCTGTTAGGCTTCGAGTGTTTGGGTTTCACAAATGCAACAAAGACGGCTCAAGCAGAAATGATGACTGCTACGAAAACACACAGAGATATGTGCCAAGAAGACTGAGTGATATCAAGGGGCTGATGTGTTTTCAGAATCTGCTCGACTGAATGGCACCATTTCAGAAACAGAAGTGGAGGCAGCCTTTGGCGCAATCTGCTGAGTCAACGGAAGAATTGTTTCTTTGTGAAAGATTTATTTTCAGTGCGCGATGCAGTCATGCTGCTTGGATATGTATTGAGTGTTGGAAATGTTGCCTGCTCATTTATGACTGTGCTGTAAAACATGTAATGAGCTGTAAGCTTTTATCCATGCTCTWCGATGAATCATTAACTCATTAGTCTTCTTGTCAGCTTCGCTTCTGAAATTAGCAGATTTCTTTCTTTCTTTTTCTTTTATTTGGCCTACTGCATCTCGTTTTCTGTACTCGTCCATGTCTGACTTCCTGGCTGTCTATAACTTGATCACGCCTCACGGGTCATTGAGAATAGGTTTTGGAGCAGAATAAATCTTCAGTCGTGGTCTGAAGAGGCAGCGTACAGTTCTGCTCCCTGGAACATTCACAAGCAAACTCACACCAGTCTTATTCCTCCAAGCTTAGAGTTCATTATTATGTGTCTCTGGGAGATTTGTTTTTTCTATTATAATGTAGTTTTTATTTTGCATTTTATTGAAGACGTTTATTARCATGTAGCAACCACTGTGGTTGATTGATATTTCACTTAACGGTAGAAACTAGTTTGTTTTCTACCCATCATCTAACTGCATTGCTCTCTTCCATTTGGTGGGGAAGTACCACTGTGTCAGCTTTTACATTTAACATTAGCAAACATGAAGCTTCTTGTCTGCTCTGCTGCATCACCCATTAGTAATGTAATATTGATCCAAACATGCAGCTGAAAGAAACCCAGTTATTAATCTTTGTGAAATGTTGGGTTCGCAGACAAAGATGAAAACTAATATTGAGCTCAGTGCATTTGTGGTAACTCTATTTATCTGTCTTCCTCGCAGCCAGTCCAACAGGTTCTGGACCGAAGGGTTACCCAGGAACGTCGGAGGTCTTCCGGGAGTCCAGCAGCACAACGGGCATGGTGGTCGGCATCGTAGCGGCAGCTGCACTGTGTATACTCATCCTGCTCTATGCTATGTACAAATACCGTAACAGGGACGAAGGGTCGTACCACGTCGACGAGAGTCGCAATTACATCAGCAACTCGGCGCAATCCAACGGCACCATAGTCAAAGAGAAGCCAGTCAACAATGCAAAACCTTCAATTAAGAACAAGAAGAACAAGGACAAAGAATACTACGTGTGATAGACGGCGTTTTGGTCTATGCTTGACCAACTCAATCATCTGTCAAAGCGATGAATCAGGACATCATGTGTACAGTATAATAACAAGGATGAACAAAATTAGTCATTTTTAACACAAGACAATGCTCTAAAATGTCAAATGAAAAATGAAAATATACATTTCCTAACTATCAAGAAGTCAAGAAAATACATCCTGTCCAAAAATAGACTAATGGGGAAATGGCTGGCATTTATTAGTGAACTAAATGCATATCTAATATGTCAACCAAACAACAGTAACCCGTGACTTGTTCATTGGCCAGGGTAATGCAATCCATCTTTTCTGTTCCATGTWAACAGAAGGGCACAGATGCACTTTGCAAATGGAGATTCAGCGTTACAAACTTTGCATTTGCATTGCCTGTTTGTGTTGAGATTTTTTTTTCCTGGAGAAAATGGCACAATGCATAAATAAATACATACATGGAAGCTGGCAAATATTTACTGTGGATGAAGAGGAAGTGGAAGGAAAAAAACAAAAATGAAAACAAACGTGTGGTGGTGAATCCAGGCCAAAGTCCTCGCTGAAGAGGCTGGGGAGTCTGGCAAACGACTAATACCTGCTTGAGCCGCTGCAGCGCAAAGATGAGAACGGATGGCAGTTCCTCGTAAAACAGTCAGATAAAAGGCAACAATTTGTGTCAGAAACAAAAGTGAAGGCTTTTTTTTTTGTTGTTTGTTTCACACTGTTGGATTTCAAAGGAGGAAGTATTCTCAGATTGCTGGGGATTGAAGGTGATCATTCGGGAGCCATGCACGCAAAAGTATCTTATAACAGTACATATGTTTATATACAGTACAACCACATCTATATGTGCTTACTGGACTGTGACAAAGTGGTGTTTTATAGCCTGTTGTATAGATGATGCAAACTATAACTGCTACTCAACCATTTTGGAATAAAATATAAAAAAAATAAAATAAAAATGGTATGTGTTAATAAGTGTTGATAGACATAGATTTTATGAGGACATTCTTTTTTTCAGTTGGATAATAATTTGAAATCCCTTTGTTTTTACATGTGTTCCTAGATAGGTTTTTTTATACATATGCCAACCTGAGATAGATGATCCTGGACCAGTAACAACCTATCCACTCCTAGAAACTGCACAGGACATTGACAGTGGAGAGGTGCACCATGACAACTCGTGTGACTCTCTCTAAAGGAATCACTGCCTTCCTCTTCAACCTTGACTTCGATGAGTGAAAGTGAAGACTGAGCATWAGAGCGCTGACGTCGGACGAGGACTGTGTTAAAGATGAATTAACTTGCTGTGTGTGTTTTAACAAGTGGTATTGCGAGACTGTACAATAAGTGCTTGAGCTGTCCCCGCAATCTGGAGGAGAATAACTCAAAAAATAGGTCTCCATTTCCAACCGATCTGTGTACGTTCTGTCATTCTGTCCGTCAGTTCTGCTTTCCAGAGACCTGTACTTGGAATGAGTATGAGCAAAAATGACCATGAACTATAAAACATGATTATAAATTTTCTTGGTTTGATCCTCTTTTGTTTTCTTTAGTGTTTTCAATTGTATTACTTCTTGTACTCAATTTAAAAAAATCCTTATAAAAACTAGTTTTGAAAAATCAAATGAATAAAACATTACCTAAGTGAACTTTAACTAGTCTACGGACAAACTCTATGCATGCAGTTATTCCTTCACTGTCTGTTCTATGATGGGCAGAGTTTGTTTTTTCATTCTGTTCTTCCATGTCGAGCACAGAAACCTGAATTACACCCATTTCATCTCAATCACCAACAGTCTCAGGTGTTTTAGCAATAATAGTTAATGTTTCTTTGAGCCCAGAGACTCCAGCAGAGATGCTGAACAAATTGCCGATGTTTCATAAGCTCACTTCATTTTAACTTCCCACCTCCGTATTTCTGACAGTTTAAAACTTCTCACCTCCAACTTTGACTCAAATGACATTTCTTGATTTTCATCAGTCATTTAGATATGTTTTCACTTTTTTTTTTCTTTTACGTGAGACATTTCAAAGTATTCAGTGTTACTCGACGAAATGTGTAAACACACTTTGAAGTGTAAAATRGTCTTGGTTGGGTTTCCTTTAGCTGGTTTGTCTGACAGGTTTTGGTGCTTAATGTTAACATTCAACTACTGCATCTGTTCAGTGTTTTTTTATGTCTACARGCTGAAAGAAAGTGATGTGGCTCGTTTTACGCTAGAGGAAAACTGGATCAAAGACACACAACAGACAGGTTTCTTCTCAGAACATTGTTGATCTTGAGACTGAGGTAAAACAAAATGTTGTAAATAAAATAACCTAGTTTCTTAAAAAATAGCAACATTATATTTGTCTAAGAAATTTATTTTTAAATTGAAATACATAGTTAATACATAGTAATATATAACTTGGAAACCTGATGTTTGACCAGCCAATGATCAGAAGCACCTTTAGACATTTCTACAGGAATGCAACATGAGACAAATTAAGTAGTAGGTTATATGTGAGTTTAAAGACAGTAGTTTAGCTAAATAATTTGTCCAGATTGTACAGGAATAAGATTGAAATYTCYCAAATGTATCATTSCAAGAAYTACCCTAAAGCAAATACATCAAGAAAGCCCACATTTCTCAGCTTCATATAATGMTCCATCTGTGATACACTACACTCTCCAAAAGGAAATTCCTCTTTTCATATGACTAATTCTCAAGGACAATTCAAAAGGGCAGGTGATGATGCCATTTTCTTACAGAAAATAGCTTTTAGTGATAAACAAAATGAAAGAAATGCATTTTATTTTGGTGCAAAAGCAGAACTGATAAAAAAAAGAGAGCATAAACATTACATTATAGGCCCTGAGAATGTGTTTAAATCATTTATTGAATCTCGGTTACAATAATAATTTATAACCCCATCAAATTTCAAAATTTTACTTTATAAATGTCATCATGTGTGTTACTAAGTTGTATTATATTTACATACAGTTGTGTCCTCAGTGTTCATTGAAGCACTCTGTGGTGTGACCCCAAAACTGGAAGAGTGGCATCAACAGGATCAGCCTCAGAAAACTCYGTCTAAAAGGAGCGCAATGAGGAGCTACGATAAACTGCATCCTTTATGAAMTTCTAAAGCGACAAAAKKATAAATAAACCTAMAATAGCTTTAAAWGGAACTGAACTACAGTTTTATCAGTGCACACGAGCACGCATCCAGCTGACCCAYCTTGTTCCAGGAGAGTCCCTCACATCACACTTGAGTCCTGATGTGTGGTGGTTGTCAGGTGTCGGGACTCAGTGAATGAACTTGTGAGTTGTTGTGACATCACATGAAGAATGATGTCAGGACATCAGTCTAAGCTGTTGGGGTTTGTTTTCCTTAGTTGTTCCAGTTTCATGTGTCCAAATCAATTCCAGTTTTTATATGTCCATCTTTTCCGTCTCTTTTTATGCCTTAGTGTTTGTCAGTGTTAGTGCGTGGTTTCACTCTGGAGATTTGTGGTCCCAGACTTCGAAGTCACCTTAATCAAGGACAACTTTATCCTCAAGGCTACAATGTAGGATATTTTCAAGTGCATCCAAGTAGAAGACCCTGCATCGCTTTTCTTTAAACTACTTAAAAGGTAAATTSGGGAGTTAGAAGGACATTTGGTCCAGACAAGAAGGTCCTCATACCCCAGTGCATCCAGTCTTCTGTCATGTCACGCATCAACTTAAACTCCATATAAAACTTCTTTCCTATCTATCTATCTATCTATCTATCTATCTATCTATCTATCTATCT